AAAAAATAAATCCCTACCTTGCTCTAATCCAGGGTTTGGTGTGCATGTCCAAACCACTTCCCCAGCTACCATGTTTTTCTGAAGCTGGGGGCAGAAATCCCCTTTCTGGGGCCAGCTCCTCTGCGATGGCCCTGATGTGGTAGGGCTCAAATCCACAGCAACCGCCAATGAACCTGACCCCCAGCTTGTAGGCCTCTCTGGCGTACTTTTGAATATCCCACCTGGTCGCCAGTCTGGGTTCCATTCCTGTAATATAATACAAATGCTCTAATGCACATTTTTTCTTAATGCCTATCACCATCTGTTTTGAGTTGAGTTAATTTTAATCACTCCTATCAGAATTTCAGTGGTCCTTCAGCATGACTCTGCATTTCACCCACACCTAATAAACTTAGGGCTCTATGCATCGGTCTGTTCTAGATATTTCACATTTATAGGATCGTACAATATTTGACCTTTAGTGTCTGACATATCACTCAGCATAATTGAAAAAGATCTTTTCATTGTGATTTTAGTTGAAGTTGACAGAGCAAATTGGTTTCCCATTCAGTCATTCAGACTCTTCTTGTCATGTGACATTGAATGCAATCCCCACTATCCAACCGCACCCTGTTTCCATTTTCATCGTCCTTCTTGCTTGCCCTTTCCTGCTTTCAGACGTTACCCCTGGACAGATGTTGCCCTTTTGCTCTCCTGTGCTTGCTTGTTCTAAGGAGGGCTATCTAGCTGGTAGCCTAAAGTGAGTTCAGTGGAGGTGAGTTCAGTTCCACGCCTGCAGGATGTGTGGGCATGGGAGTTTTGGGGGTTCTATCAATATCAATTAGATCACTAAGCCTCTTCTTTTTCTTATGATTTTGAGTGCCCCCCACCTATTTTTCTCGCACTTCGATTTTTTTGCTAACATTTCATGTTTTGTTTTATGCAGTTTTGTCTTATCTGGCTGTATCACTTGTATTGTCGTGTGCTGTCGATTCAGTTCTGACTAACAGCAGCCCTATATGACAGAACTGGCCCCTGGAGTTTCCGGGGCGATAGTCTTCACGAGAGCAGATCGGCAAGTCTTTCTCCGAGAAGGAGGTTGGTCCAAATTGCCTGTTTTCAGTTAGCAGCTGAGCACTCAGACATTGCACATCCAGAGCGTCTTGTAGCACTTGTGTTGTTGTTAGGTGCCATTTAATGATTTCGGAATCAGAGAGACCCGATATAAGAGAGAGAACGAAACCCTGCCTGGCCTGCACCATCCTCACCATCATTGGGAAGTTTGAGACCATTGTTGTAGCCACCATGTCAGTCCATCTCCTCGAAGGTTTTTCTCTTTTCCACGGACCCTCTACTTTACCAAGCAAGATGTCCTTTTCCAAGGACTGGTTTTTCCTCAATAACATGTCAAAAGTATGTGTGACTAAGCTTCACCATGTCTAAAGGTCATGTCTAAGGAGCATTCTGGCTGTACTTCTCCCAAGGCAGATTTGTTTGTTCTTCTGGCAGTACACGGCACTTTCAATATTCTTTGCCAACCCCATAATTCAGATGCATCAATTCTTCTATGATCTTCAGTAGTCATTGTCCAACTTCATAATTATCTTAATTTTATTATAACATGAAACCTCAAGGATTTTCCATAAGCTTACCAAAGGGATATTCTGGAAGGTCCACAAAGCCTCCTTTGCCACAGTCAGGGGTGTGGAATCCCAGGGACTGCACCATGAGGTGCGCTTTCAGCCCTGCAGCCTGAAGACCCTCCTTCATGAGCCTCATTGTCTTCAAGCTGATTGTGGGTCCAAATCGGCAGTTCACACCAACGATTGAAGCTCCTGGGCAAATAGATAAAGAACTTGAACATGCTATTTACCACTTTGGTGTTTTTAATAAAATAACCG